TAGCAGGGGCTTGAACCCAGGTCACCGAGGTGTAAGGCAACAGTGCTAACCACTGCACCACCATGACACTTGGGGGGCACTTGATTCTCCCCCCCAGTAAAAGACCAGATTCGATTGACCTGTTTTCCCACTTAAAACTAGCTGTTTAGAAAAAAGCCACAGTCTGCTTAACAGCTTACTACATCTGAACCGAGATCTAAAGTTTTAGGACATAAATTACACCCATAGCCTCACAAGAAGAGTACACTTCAATCCATTCATACCTGTAAGCTTGGTGTCTGTGTTTAATTCTCTGTTTTCTTGTAGTCCAGGGGTTTTTATGTTTGTGTTGCAACGAGGGGCGTAGCTAGAAATTCTGGCCCCCTGGCAAAATGTCACCTTGTGCCCCTCACTTGAGCTGGCACCTTGTGTGTGGGGGGAGTTAACACAATCACCTAACTAACTGTTCTTACCCCCCCCCGAAGGCTATCATTCCTTGTCTTCCTCATAACTGGAATTTTCACATTCCCTGGGGCTTAATGCAGCCCATTATATTGCTGATACACAATTAATCATAATGCTCTTGTCAGCCGTGTCGAAATCCAGCTGTCGATAGATCTCCATTAATTAAATGAGGGCAATTTGCTACAATCTGCTGTGAAATGGCAGGAGTTGAACTTAAGTAGAATTATTTTTTTCAGTTGATTTTATTACTATTTATTATTGATCTACCTGATTTTTCGATGTCCCTTGTGTTACAACATTTGGTATTCATATTATATTAATTGCATTACAGTACATCAGAAGTTACAAATTATGGTGCACCGCGAGTCATCATATAATGATGCTTAAAAAAATACTGTTAGCATTTGAGACTTATTAGATGTTGATAAGTAAAAGCAGGGAAGACACTGAATGTGTGTAGGTCACATCAATGAGAAGAGTTCTTGTCAAGCAGAATGATCAGGATACAGTAGGGTGACCTTGACTTGTCATGAAATCCGATAGCGATGAGGAGACATGAGGGGCTGTTCAGGTTGGAAGCGCGCCAGTGAATTAATTGCTTAGCTGCAGCTGCCTTGCCGTCTGTGTTAAGTTTGGCACATTGTATTTTTTTTTTACCACCCCCCCCTCCCCACACACACACACTTTATGAAGTTTGGCTGTATTTGATAGACTGACAGGTTATGTGGCCTTATGAGAATATCCTCATTATTGCATAGGCAAAACGGTGCAGCAGAAATCTCTAACATCCAAAGTCGCTTTGGTACAAACTGCATATTTTACCTGCTTCTTAATCATTTTTTGCAATATGAATTATTCTCAGTTAAGTAACATCTACAAAGGTGAACACCACTGTTTATCAGTATCAGAATCAGAATCGCGTTTATTGGCCAAGTATGTGAGCGAACACATACAAGGAATTTGATTCCGGTCGATGGTGTCTCTCAAGCACAACAGTATCCATGTTTATTCATATCAGTTATCCATGTTTATTCACTCATCCAACAGCCTCTTCCTCCATCCATCCATCCATCCATCTCTCCATCTACTATCCCTTGTTAACTACAGCTTGTGTTCATGTGTGTGTATGTGTCTGTGTTTGCCTTTCTCTTTTTTGAAAATGGAGATCTGCAGCTCATCAAATCTTGGGGTAATTTGTAACCTGTTTTTTAAAATCACTGTTTTGTTATATATACCTCACAGCTTCCAGGTTGGGGGTTCAAATCCTTGCTTCTGTGATTAGCGTTTATTTTTTTCTCTATTTATTCCCCTGGCTCCTCTGAGCTACTACCCCCATCTAAATACTTCAACCACGTAAATTGCCTTCCATTGCATGACTAATTAACAGAAAGCGGCTGAATACCAATATCAATTTAGCATAAAGGACCGAGTGCGCATGTGAAAGTGGGTGGCTGAGAGTTGGAGATAAAGAGGAAAGCGGCGTAGAGTCTGCGGCGAATGCACTCCCCCGGTAGGGAATCGCAGCCCTCACGTGCTGCTAAGAGGCAGGGGATACGCTAGAGAGGAATGGCACTGTTGGCAGGGCAGAGAGGCAGCGCTGAATGAGAACCGCGAAGAGGGGCGGGCTAAGCGCTTAGATAGCAGTTCCCTCGGGGGGTGTAGGATAGTAAGTTGCGGCGGTTAAAATCGTGTTGCGGTTAGTCTGTGTGCCAGTAGGTGGGGTCTCTGCGTGCGGGATTTTGACAAAGCCACTCACCAAGCCGGTACTGCGGACCCACCGCCGATAGACGCTGTCTGCTGCGCCTCGCTGAAACACACGCGCTTCCGCGCACGCACTCACACTTCGTTCGGGGAGCGTGGCAGCGCGCGACGGCCGGAACCATGGTGTTCATCAGCACTTCTCTCAAATCCGTGATCAAGTATTTCAAGAAGAAGGGTGAGCACTTTCCGTCAACATCCTCTGCTCGAGGTGTCTCGTTTCTGCGGTCATTTTGGTCTGTGTGTGTGGTTTCAAAGATTTGACTCTGCCGGTGTGTTGATTAATGGTCGACCAGCGTGTGGTGACCTTCTCCATCCGCACCTTACATGATGTCAGCTCTCCTGTGCCGCCCGTGACAGTCCGACATTAGCATGAAAAATACGAAGTAATTACTGCATAAATTAGTACAACCATCCTTCATATTGTTCAAAACAGAACTGGCATCGGTGATGTTCCCCAAAGTATTTGTGATGTGTATCTTTTAATGCATGGAACTTATTTTCTCCATCACAACTGCCTTACTTTTTGCTGGCAAAGGAGTATTATACATAATATTATGTGAATGTTATACTGCTGTAACTCCTTGCCAGTGATGCAACTGATTGAACTTTTTGTCCATTATTACTGAATTTCCTGATTGGAAAGCAGAAACCGTGCTGTTAGAATTATGAAGTCACTGCAGGTTTTCCATTTGAACTTTCCTTTTGAACAAACTTGAGCGCATCCTGTTGTTGTTGCACTTGGACAGCAATGTATTTAAAGCATCGCTGTCTGGTCTATCTCCTACAAAGACCTTACTCTTTCCCCCAATAGAAGTACATGGTAAAACGGTGTTTTAGTTATTATCCAGTGAGATCTGCTGAATAGTTGATTGGATGCCCTACTTCCTATTACATTTTTTTTTTGTTCTTTTTCCAGTGGAATCTAATTGGTTAATAATATACTGTATTCACCAGGTATGGCCAGAACAGAATTGAAGACCACCCATCAGAAACTGGGTTGCGGTTGCTGGAAGTTGTATTTGATTGGCATGTTACACAAGCCCTTTGCTCACCTGATCCTTAGCCATTGTTTGTAATAACTGTACTGTGTTATAGTGCCATTAAGGAAATTTTACTCAGTGGTCAGGTTATTAATGGTAATTAAAGGTCTATTGGCATTCTCAGATTTGCAGTCGAGCCACCTAATAATTCGACAGCTGTTTTAACCTTCACCTGCTAAATCAGGAGTGGGCAATCTTTTCCGCAAAGGGCCGGTGCGTATGCGGGTTTTCGCTGCAACTCCCTAATTAGATTTCAGCCAATCAGTCCTCTAATTGGTAGAGTCCTCACACCTGGGTTTGAACAGCTGACCTACAGGTTATCCCTAAAACCTGCATACACACCGGCCCTTTGCTTATAAGATTGCCCACCTCTGCGCTGATGCAGCAGGCTGCAGGGCCAGGCTCTGCAGTGTCTGCAGCCATGCAACGTTACGTGGAACAGCCAAACCACAGGCTGGTAGGAAACGTGAACGTGGTGATTTCTTGATGCTGGCAGTTACTTTACAGCTCACCTTAATGGTCTGATGGTTCTTCATACATGTGAACAGGCCACGCTGTTCCCTGCTACAGGGGCAGCTGCAGGAATGCATTTCTCTCAGTGTTTTTGGTTTGAGTCGGATTAACCATGACAAATGCCCCAGAGATCCTTCCCCAAAACTGCTGAGCTTTCCCTTAACGATCGCTGGTTAAATGCTGAAACTGCAGTTTTGCGCTGTCCAATCCCTTCTTCCCCCTCTCCTGCCACCCCCAAAGGGCACCACGCAAATTTGCGGGGACCGTGCTGGCAGCACAAGGATGGTCTTTGAGAACGAGAGAACCACACCACATTTTTTATATTGGAAAGGTGCAGCCATAAAGGAACAAACAGGGCATAACCCTATCAGTGTACTAATGTGTACCGTCACGTGCATGTGTGTGTTTGTATTTTTTTTTGGTTACTTATGGTTAAGCTTAGGGCTGGGTAGGGCTTAAGGTTGTCATTGTTGAGATTAGGGTATTGCCCATAGAAATGCAGGACGGTCTCCACAAAGATGTGAATACAAGTGTGTTTGTGTGTGTGTGTGTGTGTGTGTGTGTGTGATCCCTTCTTGACCTTGAGCTCTGTACACCAGAAGACCATTTTTACCAGGTAATTTTTATGCCATAAGACATAAAACCATGTATGTGTGGGAGATTTTGTCATAGCTTTGTAAGAGAAAAGTATTTATTTAGGGTATCTCCTTCTGGGCTTTCAGCTTTCCATTTCCTTTGACCCTGAAGGCATATTCTGTTTTTGTCATGGGTGTGTGGAATGTCAGTGATGAATTGCAGTGTTGTCCAATTAACAATATACAGGAATAGTAGTGTTGCTGTCAAAGCTAATAACGAAATTATTTACCCACGATTCCCTGCTGCACATCCAGGATTCGTAAGTGGGCTTAATATCTTAAACAGCCTCACTGCAACCTAATTTCAATTTACAGAAGTCGTCTCAATAGGAAACAGTTGTCAGTGTTTTTTTTTTTTTTTTTTAATGAAATTGATATGGGGGGGGTCCCAGTCACTTGCATGAAGGTACCATCTTCTGGAAAATAAGTTGAAAACAGTATAATAATTGCATATCATGCATTAGATTGCTAATAGTGTACAAAATGCACTAATCCAGATGTTTTATGAAGGCTAAGAGCTGGTTTGATCTCGCCGTGCCGGCTGGGCATCTGCTGAAAGCCTTCAGTGATTTCTGCCTCTTAACTACACTCTTCTGCCCTCCGGCAGCGATCTCCAGCTTGGACGAGGAAAGCAAATGGACGGTGCACTATGCGGCCCCCTGGCACCAGCAGGAGAACGTCTTCCTGCCCTGCACACGGCCAGCCTGCGTGGAGGACCTGCACCGTCAAGCCAAGGTCAACCTCAAGACCGTGCTCAGAGGTAAGCCATGTGGCAGGTGTGTCGCTACAAGGAGAGCGTGGGAGACGGGCATCTGTCCCCAGATTGGCCATGCGTTGAACCGTGTCTCCTTACTTAACATGAGGAGATGACCAGTCATCAAGCCGACTGTGAAGTGGTTTTACAACCTGCTCATCAAAACACTGCATTCCTCTTTTTGAGGGCTAACTAGCAAGTAGGCTACCAACCAAAGCCTGTGCAGCCCAGATAATCGAGAAGATACACCTGTGTTAAAGGGCGAGGACTTCAGGAGAGTAGCTACAGCTTTCTTCCCAAATCCACTGAACTGGGAGCTAACTGTAAAACTGGATTAAACAACTGGGGGTGGGGGGGGGGGTCTCATTGGCAAGCTGACCTTCTTTTGTGTGAAAGATGACGTGGGGGGACACGAGCTGACAGCTAATTGTATCAGAGGAGGGAGTTTTCATGGTGTTTCCCCATAGGAGGCCAGTCCACATTGTTTTCTCCTGCTTTTCTCCTTTTTTTTGAGGGAGTGTCCAGCCCCTGTCAGCATAGCCTGCAGTGGCTTTCGGCGGGTGGCTGTCTGCCTCTAGCGTGAATCTGACAGTCAGTAAGGTGCGACCACCCCATTAATGGTCCCCAGGCTGCCCGCGGGTGATGGATACCTCCACTCGCAGGTGCCCTACTTGTTCGCTGCAGGGGAGGGGGAAAAAAAAAAAACTTCGTGTTTTTCTTCCCTGTTCTTTGTTTTGTGTTTTTATAAGCAAACAGCAGGAAGGAAGGTCTTTGAAATTCAACTATGGCGAATAGCCGATCTCAGGGGCTTCCCGCTGTCGTCGGACAGGGAGCCACATGCTGTGAGCCGTATTTAATTTTTAAAATGCTGCTGACATGTGCTCAGCGGGTCTGTCGCGACGGGCATCTTGACCCCCGGACAGGTGAGGACAGCAGTTTTGTGTTTTTTTTTTTTTTTTTTTTGTCACTTTGTGAAGTGTACTTTGGATGAGAGTGCATGTGAGTACGAGTGGGTACTCCACAAATGGCCTGTCCCCCGTGTACTCTGTTTCACCTTGGCTCACATTGGGTCCGTTTGCCAGTGAGACACCTGTCAGGTGATTGATCGCCCTAATGAGGAGGACACCAGATGCCGGGTGTCGGCACCTGTCCCTTTGTCCAGGCCCTGTCAAAAGCTGAGTGATATCAGCGAGACGGTCAACTGTCCTTCGGCACGGGGTCTATCCATGCATTGTTTTAGGACTGTCACCGCTGCGTTTAATGAGACTAGAGAATCAAGGCTGATAATCTCTCTGAGTAATGTTAGGAAATGATAATGGATACGTGTGGCTCAGCGGTTTAGGATACTGTGCCGATTATGGGAAGGTTGCCGGTTGAAATCCCAGGGTCGGCAGAGTACTTTTAATATTGGGCCCTTGAATGAGACCCTGAACTCCCAATTGCCTCAGGGACTGGCTGATACCACGTTCTCCAAAATGTATTTTGTTTGGATCAAAGCATCTTTTAAATAAATAGAATGTAAATGTTATAACCTGGGCCTTGGCAGAACAGCACAAGTGCTTCTGTACTGTGCTGATCTTGTTTTAACATCAGCACATGCCAGCGATTCTTTCTTGAGGTTTTTGCTCAAGCCGTGTGGTTCGCACAGGGACTGGAACATTCCCATTATCAGAAACTTATTTGTGGGCTGCCGAAGTGGTGCTGTGAGGAAAAACCTCATGGATGTCAAACAGACGACATAGTTGTGATGATAAGGCAAGTCTAGCTTTCTTCAAGATATCTACGAATATTGTACACAAATAAGAAACCCCAACGTCATTGTCAGAAAAGGGGGTATTCACGTAATCACTATGAAGTACAGCAGACATTACCTCATATCAGAGGACTGTCCATGCAGTTTTCCCCATTAGGTACTTAATGGTTAATGAGGAACCAGAGCTATCGAATCTCATGAGAATGAAACCGCACCATATAAGAGAAAAAGGCGGTATCCAGGACAAAAGGCTTAATTCTACATAACTACGTAATACGGGTGTGTATTTATTGGCTAGTGCTGCTGATATTATTAGCCTTGTTCCTTTGCAGAACATTTTTACCCATGATTCTCTAGAGAATCTGCTGGTCTTTTCTGGATGTGGAGAATGTAGGCCACAAGGATCTCTGTTGGTTTTAAATAGGAGGAACCACTAGCTCTATCAACCACATTGTTTTGAAAAACACCTTGGATGATGGATTTTACAGTGCACTGGAAATGGTCTTTATGTTTGCGCTCTGCTCCAAGGAGAGCAGTCATTGACGGATGTCCTGTTAACTTTTGGCTGGTGAAATATTGGGGGAGGTTAAAGTGCTCATGAATGTACAGTTGGACTTTTAGCGAAGCACTTAAAGTATGTGACAGTGCCTTCTGCCATCAATTCTCATTACAGCTTCTTTAAAACCCTTTTCCCTCCTTGAACCTCGTGACCAAAAGCCATCTAAAAAATTAGCCCGCTTACTGCTAGTATTTATTAGCATGTCACAGGTTCCCTTGGTAACAAAGGAGAAGCTTCCAGCTTCTAAATGTGAGTGTTCACACCGGATTTGAAAGCACCGCATCATCAGCAGACGCCTAGCATCACCATTATTTCTTTCTGTCCAACCTTGGCTGCATTTGAAGGCCCCAGGCTACAGATGGAGCAAAGGGGACAGTTGATTGGTTAGATGCAAGATGTCATTTTTCAGATTCCCTCGACTTGAGCGTGAGTCTTCAAAGAGACGCGCCATCTGTACGCAGCAGTATGAGAGCAATGAGGTAATTACCTCCTGCATTACACCCTAATGAGAGGAAGAAGAAGGTTCTTCCTCAGTGGCATATTCCAATTATGGAAGTCGTCAGCGACACTAGGCTCATTTGGTGATAAGGAATTGATCTGCCGCCTTCTGTCCCCACAGGGGGTTCAGTCCAGACGAACCATCATAATTCTTTGTAACTAGCCTCTGCTCCATCCTTTACCTCTGTCTCCACCCCCCATTTCACCTCGGTATGAGATGTGCAGGTTAACTATCTTATTAAGGAATCTCTATTCACGCGAACTAGCAGTGTCGTCTGAATTGTGACACCTTCCTCAAGGGATGGGTCGTCACACTGTGTCGCATATCCCAGGGACCGCTACATTATCCGTGTCCATATGGTGACCCCACCCGGTGACTTCGTGGCCATGTGTTCCCTGTGGAGTGTAATTAACCCAGCTAATTTCTTTCCTCTGGCTACTCTTCGCTTGAAGCCTTCTCTGTGTGGTCATCTGAGACTTTGCATCCAAGGGTCTTAGTGTGTGTGCAGTAATTTTAGAGGCTGCATTTCTGAAAAGTTAAAATATTTGGCCATATGGAGGACAACCATATAGACAAGAACAGTCAATATTGCTGGGGGCCAAAGAGATCAATAATTAATTGCCAAGGAAATGTGTGTAAACAAATACCTTTGTCGTTAACTAAATACTTTCATGTGGTCTTGTTTGGCTTGGGGGTGCCAGCTGTGACCTCAGGAGCTGGACTAATGTGCAGGTTCCTCACATGTAGAACCTACCTGTTCACAATAACAAACCAGTAGCCTTATCCTGACCCAAGCCATCTATTCATCATCATCTTTCTGGACCAGTTTACCAAGTGATGGAAGTTTAGATGGAACTGAAGAAAGCTGAAGGCATATATTATTCAAAAGAACTTTAGCAGTAAGTCGATTGATTGAGATGTTATCCAAGTGGGTATCCATTATTTATTCATTATTTGACTGCTCAGTTCCAAATATTTACATGTTGCAGATGAGAATCCGGGATGGCAGCCTCCCCTCACAGTCCAAAAACATGCTGAGGATAATTGGAGTTGCCAAAGTGTGTGTGTGTTTGTGTTTGTTTGTTTGTTTGCCCGTAGACTCTCCGAGTTAGGATGTTATAGTTGTGATCAGAAGGTCACCAGTTCAGATCCGGTGGCTGGCAGAGTGATGTCACTGTTAGGCCCTTAATTCCAATTTGCTCCAGAGATTGGCTGAACCTGATTTCTCAATTGTACGTCACCAAAATAAAATTGCCCGCTAAATAAGTAAATGTAATACCACAGATTAAACATTGGCGTTGTATTAGTTTTTGGTTAAAATATTTTTGTCTTTGAGCTTCAGGACATTCTCAGAAAGTAGAGCACTTCATTCTTTGATGCATTGTCCCCCCAGTTGTGCTTTATTGCATTTTCTTTGTTTTTGCTGAGCAGACTTCAGCTGTCTAACTCCAGCTGTTTAGTGTCCTTGCTTCCTGGTCTGATCCACTTCAGCCCACTCAGCTGCCTGCTCTCTACTGAATAATGGTGGAGTCTTTCCAAGGAAAACATTCAAGAGGATCAAAGCTGCGTTCACCACAATACCTTAAAGCTCCGTTTCAGTGGTGGCATATATTTGTCTTTCTATTTGAAACATTTCTCATCAGTATTTTTATAAAATTTTAAAGTACTCTGTAAATAATGAAGCATTTGTGGGTGTTTTTTTTGTTTTTTTTTTGGTTCCTGCTGAAAAGGGCACATTGGGCAAATTTCAATCTTTAGGCTGATCTCAAGCTCCATTCCACCTTTGTAAGTCGGAAAGAAAGCACAGGGTCGCCTTTCCTAGAGTCGACCAGATGGTCTCTGGCAGTTTGGTCTGCAGAAGAAACAGCAGGTGGCCTCGGTGGAGGTTAAAGTACTGGTCACCAAACTACTCAAGGCTGAGGAGGGGCATTGCTTCAGTACATATCCAGCTGTAACTATAATTGGTGATGCTGTATGGAGGCCACTGTCTGTTAAGAAACGAAATGAACAATAGCTACTAGAGATGGCACCATATCATGTTTTCTGGTCCGATTTTGAAAATTTCAAGTATCTACCAAAACCAATCCGATACCTATTAGCTACAGTTCCTTATTGACTATTAAAATGAGGAAAGTGGCCCTTCTAATGATACAATGATACAATGTCTAATGATCAGACATACTAGTGTTCATGGGTCTACTGAGACAAAGTGTTGGATTTAACGGCAGAAAACATTCAGCATCCCCTAACCAGAAGTTCCTCCATCACCCTCACAGAAAAAAAAATCTTAAAGCTTTGGCCCATTCATTAAATACTAAAGTAATCATGTGTCTAGTGGTAGGGAATCCCTATTTATGGTCTATTTTTGATTGGGAGTCCCTGGGTTAGGAAAGGTTTAAAATACCTTGGCCAACGTGACTTACAGTGAATACTTTTACTGCAATAGTTGAGATTAAGATTAAGTGCTGCTCAGTACAAAAAGCAGTGCCCCTACCCTGGGGTCGGCAGCTTTTCATTAACACAATAAATCCACATTCTAAACCACTGTGTTGCATTGCCTATTGACATTGGCCCATTTTCCCATTGTTCTCCTTTTTTCAATCATGCCAGTATTTCTTGAAGTAACAAGCTCAGCTTTTTTAACCTGTAAAGTATGGTTTGTTTGTTTTTTGTTTGTTTTATTGCTTCTGGACTATTGGGCCTTTTCTCCTTGTTCTCCTAACCAGTTTTCTTGTGGCTGTTTCTCTTGCCTCTGCCCAGAATGTGACAGGCTGAGGAAAGATGGCTTCTGTAGCTCTCAATACTACTCTCAGGGCCCGGCCTTCTCCTCTTGCAACCTCTCCGACGGCGGTCTCCCCAACCGTGAGGACACCAGTAAGAAAGTAAGCCAGTAACAACCCCACCTCACCCCACCCCTGCCCTCTGTGTTGACATTCTTCTGATATTATTTTCAGAAACTGTTCGCTTTTGAACAGTATGAAACATTGCCTGATGGAAGTGTTTTATGAAGCATTTATAAATCTCTGGCTGCATGACTCATTGGTTCAAAGTAAGGACAAAAGATTTTTACAAGGTAAAATTCAGTCGTTTTGTTGATGTAATTATTTTTACTCATCTCTGCCTTGAAATAATTACCAAGGTTGGTCAACCTCTAATCTGTTTATTTTTTTATTTGAACAATACTGGTTCATCAAAAGTTGTGACAAATCTGATAGCACAAGCTCGCTTTCTGCCTTGGCCTCCGGCCAAACTAAATGTAAAATCACACTGATTGTGTTTTCCTTGAGCGTTGTAATACAATATCTTGAGTACTATTGGTTGTTCCTCTGACCCCATATTATGATTAACTCAGGTATTTTGTGTTAAAATCAATGGAAAAATAATTCTGAGAATTCATAAACATTTACTTTGAATTTGTCTATCAACTGAATGTTAACATTTGTGGTAGTCTGCCCCCTAGAGTTTGAAAATAACTTAAAAACTACATTCAGTACAGAATTATGGAATAGCATACAATTGCAATTCATTTTCCAGTCGCTTATCCTGGTAAGTGTCATGGGGTACTCTGGATCATATCAAAGGCAACATCTGGCATAAGGCATAGGGTGGCAGGTCATCGCAAAAATAATATAACTAATTTGATAATGAGCCGACTTGAGCACTCAAACTCAACAGAATTTATGCTAAGTAGATAGTGCTATTGCCTTGCATCTCCATGGCTGAGGTTCAAATCCCATCTGTACTCTGTGTGGAGTTTCCACAATTCATGTAGGTTCCCTACTGCAGTGCAAATACATTAATAATATTGTCAGGAATAAAATATTGGCTAGGGAAAAAAAGCAAGCAATACCAGTAAGTAGAGTGACTGTGAATATAATGGATTAAATTGCATGAGGGTACTGGTCACTTTTAGTAAATTCTTTTGATTACAGTACAGCAGGTATAAGTGACTTTGTGTATGACAAGTTCTGATGGGTCTCTCAGTAAGTTCTCTGCTTGAACATTTATTTACTTTGTACACAGATTTATTTGGAGCTTGCAGTTTAACTTCCAGGGTAATAACAATAGACTGTTAACGTAGTTCTCTAAACCTCAGATAAACACGAAATGTTTTAATGCCATCTTTGCACTGACTGGAAGAGTAAAACGCAGGCATACAGCCCCTATTGCCCTCCTTTCCCCCCAATTCTGCCCGCAGTCTGCAATGTCCTCTGCCGAGGAAGAAAGGTTGATGTGCTCCATGAGACTACAGAGCCCTCTGCTGGAGGAGTACCACACCAACGGGCAGATGCACTGGAGCAAAACACTACCGCTGCCCACCCCTGAGGAGAAGATGAGGCAGCAGGCCCAGTGTGTGCCCATCGATATCATCCCCATAAATGTCACTGGTAGGCCACACCCCCTTGAAAAGCCAAGCCACTCCTCCTTTCCTTTTCATCTCCATGGCAATGTTCTACCATGTCAAAAAAAGTTGGTGTGCCATTAAATCATTGTGCTGTTGAAGGAGGAAAACATGGTTTTGTGTTATTGTTTTACACCAGTTTTGCATTGATGTAATTTTACAAGATGTATATTTTCAGCGGAGCTTGGTATCTTAATGATGCTAGTCAAAATTGAGCAATTTTCTGACCCTCAGTATATAAATGTTGCAGTACTGTAGTTTTTAAGAATTCATAATTAATGCAAATTGTCAAGATTATCTGGAGCTGACCCGGAGATCGGACACGTTCGGCCACTCTCAGGCCAGTGGGTTGATTTTGCTGTTCAGTATGCTTTCCCATGAACTACACATGATGTGATGTAACCTCCGTTCTGCTTGCTCTCGCCATTCCACATCAGGGGAGAATTTTGATCGGCAGGCCAGCATTCGGCGTTCCTTAGTTAACATGGACACTCTGGTCAGGCGGGCTAAGAAGGTCAAAAGGAGAAAGACAATAACAGGTGTCCCAGACAACATCCAGAAGGAACTAGGTATGGATGTTTGCTGTTCCATTCACTGCTTACTGCGTGGCCGCTAAATCCTATCCCCCCTCAATTTGTAATGGGCTATTATGGCAGAATCCACACCGATGACAGCCGTAAGGACCAATAAAAACCAAAAACAGACAGGAAGGTACTACTGGCAAACAACTGGATCAAAGGAAATTAAAGCATGAAAAATTAAACTCCACCTCTAATTGTGACAGTTACAGCTCTAGCTGTCAATGCGTTTTACCCATTTCCACCTGGTTGTATCGATCAGTTTCTCAAACCAGTCCCGAGGGACTAGGTTGGGAAACACTGGCATAGATGATTTCTGGCATTTTGACCTAGTCAAAATTATGTGCACCAAAGATACAACTCTTAATAATGAACACAAAAAATACAAAGATAAATCTGAATGTGTTTTTTTTTTTCCTCGTATGTCCCTAAATTACCTCCTCAATTCTGTTGTTTATGAATCTTTCAAGATTTTATATAGTAAACTCTAATCAGAAGAATATAAATTCATTCATGCCATTCACAGGTTTAGATATCACTAAGGCTACGTTCACACTGCCATGCTGGAGTGACTCAAATCAGATTTTTTGCCTTAATGTGACACAGATCTGATCTTTTCAGGGCTGTGTGGACACGCAAATCTGATCTTTTCAATTCAGATTTGTGTCACTTTCATATGTGGTACTAAATCTGATACGTATCCGATTCGCGGTCATGCGACCTGAATGTGACGCTCAGATCGCAATTCATGCGGCTTTTTGCTTAGCGCATGCGTATAACATCATCAGCCTGCACTGGCAGCACGGGAAGGTAAAAATGGAGGAGAACTGCGATAAGTCAGTGGAAGGATGGAGAACTTGGGGATTTAATTGATATTTGGGGAAATGAATCTGTTCAAGCTAAACTGGAAGGAACCTATCGTAATAGAGTTTGAAATAATTGCCAATGAAATGGCACAGCGCAGACACGAACGTGGCTACAGTGCCAAAGAAAAACAAAGAGCCTGAAATCAAAGTTTAAAGAGGCAAAAGACTCGAATCAGTGCAGCGGTCATGGCCGCACAACGTGCCAATTTTACGACCAGCTTTTTATCCGTGTAAAAACGTATCAATGTGCGCATGCGTGACGTTTTGGAGGACCGATGCGTTCACATTACAGTCAGATACAGGTCACTTGTAGTTATGAATGTGAACCGTCAAGATAGACAAATCCGATCTGGGCAAAAAATCGAAATTGAACGTTGTGGCTGGCAGTGTGAACGTAGCCTAAGGTGTGAGGACTTGCAGTGACAGTAAATAAATACCTGAATCAGGGAACCCTGTGTCAGACTGAGAATCTTTCAAACTTTCAAGTCCAGGCTGTACTGTAGCTACACAATAGGTTTGTTAAGACTAACCCAGGGTGGATTACATGTGAAATCCAATTTTGTGTGATGTCCTACTTACAAAAAAACAAGTAAAATCACCTTCCTAGCCATAGATAGTACAGTTTGGCTAATGAAATGTCAATTTAAAAAGGCATTCTTTCATATAATCTTCAGATCCCTTTTGTTGATGGGTTATATAATCATCACTATTCAGATGTTTCAAATAGACTAGTACATTTTTTCCTATGGATTTCAAAAGCTGAAACATTTGCACAGCTGACCTACCAAGCAATTATCAATCTAAGAGGAGCAGGGTCGGGGGGAGATTCCCAGCAGGGACCCCAGAAATATGTCAGAACTCGTTGTCATTTCCGACACTCATTTCCTCTGTTAAACTTCCTAATAATTTCTGTGCACTCTTCTGGTATTTCTGATAAAACCTTGGGCTGCAGTTTTTTGTTTTGGAGTCTGAAGGTCATAAACCAAAATCAAACTCAAGCTCACTGCAGAGTTGATGTCCATATTGTACATTTTACTAATTTTATGTTATCTTGAAAAACGTATTTTATGTTTTTTAAAAGAGATTTAGGAGACCAAATTATTTGTGTGGTACAACGGTGTATAATAATTGAATTCACCATAAGTAAAACTACTCTCAAAGCAACCTGCATCAAGACAGTTAATATAATTGGGGTAAAATTTTGGAACTGCAGCAGAACTGCACTTAAATAGATGCACTACTTTGGTAAGGTGAAAATCATGTTTTCCTCTATGTTATGCAAGTATTTGTGTCTTGTCTCTTCATTACTCATTCTGACAATTCACTTCATTACAACAAATTCATTTGTTGCTTGAATTTTTTTCTTGGTTTGTAAACTTTAGGGGACTTTAGTTTCATCTACATCCTTGCCAGAGAATTCATTGCTTTGTTTCCCCTTTTGCATTACTCAAAGGGACCGGCGAATGCCATTCTCCTTCAATGTGCATACCAAGTCAGTACTTCACATTGGGTCGTGTCGGTAGTGTTGGTTCAGCCTTGCGACGTTCCGGCACCCGTGATTCCAGTTGTCAGACAGAGGACACAAAGATCGTGCCTCCATCCATGAGAAGGATCCGGGCGCAGAAGGGTCACGGCATAGCTGCTCAGATGGCTAACCTCTCCAATTCCTCCACGGGCAGCATCTCCACCATCAGTAACAGCACATGCACCATCTTTGCCTCACAACTAAATAGAGGTGACCAGCGTTGCTACAGCCTACCCCGCCAGGGAACCCGCACCTCCCTGCAAGGAGAGCCCAATTACACCAGCACCTCTACTGGGACAGAGGACTGCATTGTAGGTACTCTGTCACACCAGATCAGCAAGCTTCAAACAGAAATGCGGGTAGCACCTTTAAGGACCATCCAAAGGACTGACTCACGACTGTACACCAGTAATCAAGAACGGAGGGAGTTCATGAGTTGTGAGACTCTGGCGAGCCCTACCTCCTTAGCCTCTCCACATGGCACCTGCTCAGTCTTGCTCAGCAGTAACAGTCTGCTAACCTCCTCAGTTGAAGGTGTATCTAGCATTGAAGCAATTGAACAGTGTGCAATACCCATAAACTCGGTGTCGTCCTACCATACGAACAAGCCTCTCGGATCTCCTCGGATCAAAGAAGAGCAACATCCTTCTTCCTTAACCTCAGTCATTACACCATGCCGCTGTGATTCAGCGGTATCTCTCAGCACTGGCACGCTCACAGAAACAGAGTCTCAGTGCAGTAACCCAGATGGCATGAAAAGTTACTGTAGCAAGGACACCCAGAGTGAGTCTAGCTACTCCTACGGAAGTCTTCAGAGCTGTAGCCCTCCAGAGAAGTGGAACTACGACACCCTGCCTAAAAAACCCCTCCGTTCTAGTTGCTCCACCCCCATCAATCACATATGTAGCAATTCAGAGCACCCTTCAAAAAAGGCAGAGTCGTTTCCGCCATTCTCCTTTGACAATGATGCCAACTACACTTCCATGAACCTGGACTCGGGGCACAAGTCATGTAGCTACAATAGCATCAACGGTGTGGACCATATGAAGCATTGTATGTATGAGTGCAAAGAACACAACAGGCAAGATGACCAGATTAGCCTTTGCAGCAATAAGTCCCTATCCCGCAGTATCTCCCTTCGCAAGGCTAAAAAACCACCACTCCCTCCAACCCGTACTGACTCCTTGCGACGAAAATCAGAGAAACATTCCGAATTCAAAGTGACAAATCCTCAGGCTAATAGTCCAGTCTCGAGTGAGACACTGATTGCCACCCTCCAAGAGTCTCTGCATCTGAGCCTAAAAAGCAACAACGCATCATCTCCTGCCCAAAGCCCGTCCAGTGATCGTGAGGATCCGTGGCTGCTACGTTCCCGTAGCCAGAGCAGCATCAGTGATTGCAGTAGCCTGGTATCTCCTTCCAGTGGGAACCTCTACTCCATCTGCCCCATCACACCATCACAGAGTGACAGCAGCAGCTTGCGGCCAGATTGGGCCGAGTCCTTAGCCAGTAATGGAGACTCTCCTGAACTGCGAGCTGAGCAGCTATATTTTCCTGAAATTCAACCCAGTTATGTTGGTGGGTCTCCACTCTCCCAAGAGGAGCTCCACTCAGACTGTAAAAAGCATCTGTCTCTAGCCCTAAACGGGACCTTGGTAGATAAGACAAAGAGACTCTCATTACCAGAAAAGATGAATCACTTAACATCCCCGTCTAGTGGTCTTTCTAGCCAGGTCAGCACCCTGCCTTCCCTCAAGAAGTTCCGGTCTCCTGCAAGGCCAAGGTCTAAGCCTAAAGTCCCTGAGAGAAAATCCTCTCTTTTGTCTTCTGTGTCTGTCTCTCCCATTGCCACACCCGTATCTGCTGGTTCCCCTGACCCCACAAAGAAACTCCAGCTGGTCCACTCTAGCTCTCCCATGCCAGCAGCACTGACTACCAACTCTACTCAGCACACCTTGATAACAACCACTACCTTACTCTCTGCTGCTACTTATCCTGATTCAAGTCCTTTCAAGGTACCTGGGCAGAACTTTCCTCCATCTGTGCTACCAATTAACCTTGAGAAGATTTGCACCACTACCCATGTGTCTACACCTTCTTCACCTAAACCAATCATTTCTGAATTACTAGATAAAAATTACTCAAGTCCTGCTACACTACCTCTTCCTCCACCATACCAATCTCCACCTCCTCTTTTACCTGTCAGTGGTTCCACCTCTCAACTCTCACATAAGTCTTTGAGGAATCAGGCAGAAGTCTCAGCTCAAAGCCCAAAATGTGATTTCAGTACTGTAAATACCTTGGGCACAGATGATTCATTTGATGGGAAGATGGATAGTATCAGCTACTTTCTGAAGCCCCTGATCACTGCCCAGGCTTTGCAAATGGTGCAGCTTCGGCCTGTTGAAAAGGTGGACAGATTTAATAACACTGATGAAGAATGGAAAGATAATGAGAAAGAAGGGAAAACTGAAAAACCTGAAGCGATAAATATATTACCAGGTCCTTCCAATGTGATTCAACAGTCATCGTCACTGGTGATTCAGTCCCTGCCGGATTACTCAAAAAACTCCAGTCTTTCTGAGGACACACTTGGCAGATTTATCATGAATGGCCAAACTGAAGACCTTGAGCCCCTGGAGTTGACACCTATTGAGGAGGATTTCCCAGACAAGTCATTTCCTCCTACTCAAGAGGAAGATCACTCCTCAAATCCATTGGAGATTTTGCAAATTTCCACAGTCAAGCAAAAAAATTCTCCCTCTCCCAAAAAACCCAAACTCACCTTAACTTTGCCTCCAATTCTTCCATTGCTTGTTGTGGAGCACACTGGTCCACAGGTGGTTAGCCTTGAGAAGTTATCCATTTTGGATCCCATAGATAATTGTCCACAACTTCTGCTGGTGGAAGGTGAGGACAACTATAGGAATGATGACAAAGATGAGGACTCTGGGAGTCTCCCACCTCTAGCCAGCCAAGAAGACTTCTTGACCAGCCAACACTCCAGAGAAAATTCCCCAGCCCTTGAGCATGATCTCACCATAAAGGCGGAAGAGTTGGCTATTTGTGACGAAAGGAACATGTCAGATGGAGATGCTGATGCTGCAAGCAGCACTTCAGACTCCTTCAGCTCCAAGGAAGAGGATGATGGTAAGCCACATGTAATTAATAAAGGCCACAGTTTTGTTCAGTTTTGGGTTTTTTAAACTGCAAACAGCCTCAATACCTAGGAAAGCCCAACTGGTTGAGTTTAAATAATGGTTAGTAATTTTATTAATGATTAAAAGCTGGGTTAGATTGAAAAACTCACAAACTGATCCCTTCCGAATGTTTCATTAGAGAGGCCACATCTGACAGTTACATTGTTTAATAGCCATCTCATAATGCAAACTGACATTCAGCCCAATGACTCAGCTTTGTAGCTGCATTTGTGATTTAATTAGTTCAAAGTTAAAGTTTTTCATGTGCTGTTTCCATTATTCTGTCCACCCCCTATAGTTTTACCTAGCTACAGCATGGAGGTACTCAGTAGCTGCTCATTTTATAATGTATTTCATTAAGGTGCTTCTCTGCACTACTGCATAGATTGAATCTTGCAAGAAGGGTTTAAGAATAGGATTTATATCCAGGAAGTATCTGTTCTCTCCCCCACTGCAAGCAGTCTGGACTGATGGGATTGCGGATGCAGTAAATAAGCTTTCTTGTTCTTTCTTTCTCTGGTGTATTGGAGTGTTCCTTTTCTTCTGCACGCCAAAAAGAAAATGGAGACCTCACCTGCTTCCTTGTAGTTGACTGCTTGGTGTGGAACCTACTACAGAAAACATTTTGGCAGTTTCAGTTTCTCTTCAGGGTAGATTCTGAGATATTAGATTGCTATTAGATTCCTAGTACGGAAGTATTGAGAGTAGGCATACAAGGTGAGGAAGAATGAAACCAATGACTGCATGCAACTCCAGCCACCTCTACTTGGTCATGTTTTGATTTTGTCCTTTTGTGGTTGAGCTCAGAGATGTTTTGGCAGATTTCATGGTTGGTGTCACAACCCTCAGATACATCACATGAATCTCTATCTCGTTAAGGTGAGGTGTTCGACTTCATCTCCTCGGCTCGGGCTGAGACACACGGAGAAGAGCCAGAAGACATGGTGACTCCCACGCGGCCTCGCACGACTGAAGACCTCTTTGCCGCAATACACAGGTATTCCTATTAAAATATTTTGTTCCTGTCTGTTCATCTCCTTTATCAACCCACCTATCAAAATCATGGGTCTTTGTGGTTTTCAAGTGCAGAGGAATAAATTAAAGTCCATATTTCCCCCACTACTCATACTGCCTATAATAACTGCATCATAAATTATTCATGAGCACGTTTTGCAGCTGCGTAACCTCCTCACCCCCGATGCAAGTGTCTCTTTCATCAGACAGAGCCTTTGTACAAACCAGTAATATTGAAAATAGGACTTCCTTACCTGAATATTTTTTTTTTAGGGAGCATGGTATTGTTTACCCATACCTGTACAAGCACACATAGACAAAATTTATACCTGTACAAGCACACAGACAAAATTTAAAGCAAAACAAAACTGAAAAACCTAACTGAAATTTTAACGGAGCTGAATGTGAAATCCAGTATCATCTTTTAAATGACAGTATTTCTGATTGTTGGTGAATTTGGCTTATTTCACTTTTTCCCCAGATAGTGACCATGTCCCTGTTATATGTATATGTAGCAGCTTTGAAATTCCCCCCGGAACAGGTCTAGATTACATTAAATGTTGAATTACCATTTTTTTTCTTCTGTTCCTGTGACCCTCTAATCCGTAGTTTTGCTGCACTATGGCTATACTTCAGCTTTGCCTGCCCCATGGAAATCTCCGGCACCTACCATTTGGCACATCTGTGTATTGTTTAGTGTTCCTTTGCTGTGTAATACTCTGCTCGCAAAAAAGCATCAGTAGAAAGAGGAGGTTTTTTTTTATATTTTATGCTCTAAATATACTGGACTGCATATTTTGGAATTTGTTTCCTACTGAATTCATTCAATTCAACCTTAATAATATTGTTCATCGTTATGTAATATTTAATAAAAAACATAAGTGAGTGTGTGTACCTAGTAATGACCACTTCTTGCTGTATAAGTTACGTGACAGTAGCTTCTAACTTGTGTTAACTGCAGGTCTAAACGTAAAGTTCTGGGTTGGAGGGAGTCTGAGGAGGATCGTCCTCGGGTCCACTCCTCCTCGCCTCCCGTCACGCCCACAGGTGTCTCCCCGGGCTTGGCCTCCCGCCAGCCCACCTCCATCCAGCGCAGCCTCCGCAAGACCACCAGCAATGACAGTTTTAAGGCACTGCTCCTGAAGAAGGGCAGCCGCCCCGAAGGCGGCTTCCGCATGTCCGCTGCCGAAATCCTCAGAAGCACCGACCCCCGGCATCAGAGGGCCCAGTCGGACTCCGCCCTGGAGTCCCCTTCCTCGGGCCCCGGCAGCCCCTGCGACTCTCCGGGCCACGGCCACAGGACGCCCGAGGAGTGGGCCCGCACCGAGGGTCTGCTGCCCCGCTTCTCCCCGGTGTTCCTGAGCAATCGGCATGGGCGCTCGAGCACGCCGCCCTCTGCTGCCAGCAGCAGGTACAACGCCCGCAACCGCATCCTCAGCAGCCCAATGACCGCCATCAGCGAACGGGAGGGTGAGCTAGCTGAGGCCGCAGACTGCTGCGGAACCCCTGAGAGCAGGACTCCGCCAGGGACACCGCCCAGCCCCATCTCCACACCACAGGACAAAGACGGTACTTCACGTGAGGACGGCAGGTAGAAAAGCACTTTAGTTGCCCCCGTTCAAGGGCAGATAGAACTCTCTCAGTGCCCAGGGGAGTAGTCTTAATCAGACCACCAGGCTTGGACACTCATGGTGCTTTTACTGGTCATAAATAATGGGAGGCCAGACCCTAGTATCCATAACAGAATCCATGGTGCTTAGTCTGAAACATAAAGCAATTCTGCTGCAGCTTTAATTCCACCCAGTCGCTCATTTTGTATGAAAATGTGTACATTGCTTAAAGCAACAGCACACTTCCAAAGCCGACGTAGCCTGACGTTCATTTAGCAGAGCATAGTTTTTGTATTTCATGATCGAAAGCTTAAAGCACTTGTAATGTTAAACATGAAAAAAATTAATTAAGGAAGAGGTACGTGTGAGGAAGGAAGAGTAAAGTGAAAAGTTGGTTCTTGCCGCACTGATTCTTCGACAACGGAACAGGGTTGAATTTTGAGGCCGCTAGTTAGCATGTTGTATTGAATGGAGGAAAATAAGGGTTTGCGCTACAAGTCTTGCTTGCGCTCCTGTATGATCCCACGCTGAGACTTAAACAGCATAGCATTTCTTTCCTTTCGAGAGGATAAAGCAGCAGCACAGCTGTTCTGTCTTTTGCTTTGACCACACTTGGGCTTTAAGCCCCTGAATTTGGCCAGCGAAGCTGAGATTTTGGTGCTGAATGTCCAGATGCAACTGAAAGGAGAGGTATCGTGAAAAGCCAGGTTTGAGGAGGAAGCGTAGAGGGATGGTGGTCAAGGTTTAGTTCCAAGACTGGTTTGAAGAGCTTGATTTCTAGTTTGTAGATTTTGCACTGTTTTGTTCTTTGTATTTTATGTTTCAGGAATATTAAAATGTATTCTTGTTTTTTCGTTAATTTGAAATAAAATAATTTGGAAAAGAATTTTGAAGGAAAAATCTGTGAAGATTTGGTTACCAAAGGGTGCAATTCAGCGTGTGATTCCTCCCCAAGCCCAAATTCAAAATGATTGCAATAACCTTTTCTTTTTTTGCGGGGGTCAGAATCAGCAGCTGTATGAAGCTTATGCTGCACTACCTGTATGCGTTTTCTAAAATGTGCACGCTTATTGCAAATAAATATAGGCATTAATATCGCATTGTCACATTTCCTCCAATGAGGAATTTAATTTTATTACCATTACTTCTCTGTACTGTTGTTCACAACATTGTGTTCAAAATGCACATTATTTTGAAATGTTTGTAATACTCTAGATGAGTAGAAATGTCTGGGGGGGCATACTTAAGTGGGCTTTTGTCAGTACTTTAAGCTAAAACGACGTTATCCCAAACCCTGAATCCAGTTGTCTTTAGTTGACTGTCATACATTTCTCTCCCTTTAGCCAGCCTCTGCACAGCATGTCTGTAATCAAGTAACAGATGTGTCCTGTTGGCAGTAAATAAATGGTAAATAAAATTATTTACATTAAGAGTGTCTTTATTAAGTTACGCTAAAATGACATTCTACTCAAACACAGGCATAGACTTGCCTTTCCAATGATCCCCAATATGTTACAAAAAGTGACCAAAGAAGAATTTCAGTGCAGGGGACATACAATTTAAACGGCACAAACAGACGAAATTGTTTAAATAAATAAGGCTCATAAGATGAAAGCATAGCAAGACCAGTCAACTGCAAAGCTGTTTGTGTTTTACTAGTAGTGGTGGTCTGCCTCGGAGTCCCTGCTTCATCCAAAACCTCATACATTCAGGTCTATATATGACTGACCACGACAATTACGAAAAAAAAAATTAAATCCAGCACCAACTCAAAGTTTTATTTCTTTTTCCCTAATGGCTCTGTATACAGAATTCACTTAAACTTCAGACTGCTGGACAGCTCTGCACACCTTTCTTGGGAAGTGAAAAGGATCATCCATCTGAAACATGGATCCTACTCACACACTTGAAACAGGTTATACGTGTTCAGGTTCAGCCTTCTATTTTTAAATAAGCTGCCTTTCGTTTTACTGCTTTTTCCACCCGGAGCTAATCAGCTGAAAATAATTTCCTATCTAATTACATAAGCACAGGCCTTGCTGTACAGTACCTTCACTTCTTTTGGCTGGAAACACCTGGATGAGGAACCTAGATTCCAATTTGGGGATAACTAGCCTTAAAAAGACTTGCTTAGCCTGAACAAATAGAAAAGATAAAATTAAGAGAGAAACTGCATGAGGAACAGTAGTTTTGTTTCATTCCCAAGACATGCCCAACTGCTGGACTGCACAACATTAATTTTGTTTATTGCAAAACCGACGTAGGAGTACAGAATGATCCTCACTCACCGCAGTCAAGTAGTGACGGAGCACTTGGATGCAGGTATAGAAAATTGCCCAAACTAGTTTTTCACTCTAAAAATGCCAAACGGGGATGCCAGGGTCAAACTTCGAAACAGTCAAAGGATTAACCAGCGTATCTCAGTTACCCAAGTAGGCTGGGATCTTAGGGTTTAGATGACTGTAGCATGGATAGACATGAATTGAGTAAGGCTGGGGGTGTCTAAGAAAGCAAGCACAGACAGACAGGCCACATGAAGAGGGTGTGGATTGGCTATAGTCCTTCCTGGTATTAGGTGTCAGATTTGGGCAGACCATATCTCTCTGGGGCCCAAAGCGGCTCCTCAAGGCTGGTAGTGCTGCCGGATGAAGGCCAGAACGTTATCCTTGGACAGCTTCTCAGGGTCCACCCTTGTCTGAGAGTCGTGCACTTTGACGCCATCTTCCCATGCCCAGAAGAGTTGCTCAGAGTGGCACACACTGTGACAAATGGTACAGTTTTTGTTTGTCTGCCAACTGACAGTATCTAACGTTCAGGCAAGGTTTTTGCCCCAAACTAGGTAACTGCATCGAGAGCTACTCACTGGAAGGGAGCCGCAGAATTCTCCGGAAGGTTGTACGAGGATTCTTTCGTCAGCTTGTTGTAGAAGAACTTCCGCTTTGTCGTCTTGCTGTACGCCATTGTCCAGGGCTCTGGGGGGGCGGGGGGGGTGAAGACAGGAATAGCACAAATAACACAGGAAAAATGGCAAGATGCTTCATGGTTGACTGGATTTTTCTGCTAAGCCTTCACACAACTCACCATTCATCGTCTTAATGATGTACAGGCCACTGGGTAGGAAGTGACGGTCGTCCCTGCCGGTATAGGACAAACGTGGGACACCCCCTGAGCTCTTTGTCACCTTCATCTCCAGCCTGGCACCAGCATGGTTGGAGGACACAGGGAATGACCATGTTCATATGTTAACACTCCAGGTGTCAAAATTTAGAGGTAGACCTTAGAAAACCATAAACTTCATGTCCAGCGAGGTAGAGCTGCTGTTGTATATTAGAAAAAAAAACATACAAACGTAACACAAATACATCAAAATGCGTGTGTCTGTGTGGGAATGTGTCCGCAAGTAGAAAGTCACTCTGAGCATCAGCTATATGATTAGATATGAAGCATAAACAAACATTAATTCATGTCCTGGCCTCACCTGATGAATATTTTCTCCATCTCCTCTAATCTGTATACCTCCTTTACTCTGGGGGGGAAAAGGCATAAGATGGAGTAGTGACATATTCATACCAAACCCCTCAAGATATTCAACTTTAAAAGCAGAAAGTAAATGAAACCCTTTAGACTTATTTACCGAATGGGATACATGTCAGGCCGGCTGGGTTTGGATACTGCTCTCACAAACTTCTCTGCCATCTGGATCCTGTCAGGCCAACAAACAAGCCATCCGTTACCTTTTCAGTGTGTCTATGAAGTGTTGATCTGAGATGTGCTCTGGATGACCAAAAGGCTTAACCTCTGGTTAAAGTGCTGGTCCCGGACATCAGTCCCATTCAGCACCAGAGCATCCATGACATGGACGGCGTTGATCCTGCGTTGAGCCTTGCCCTGCAGAAGCATGGGTGCAATGTAAATAAAGCCATGCCAATCAATTAGAGCTGAAATCAAGCGTCCAATGAACTTTTGCTTTATGATCCCCATAGCTTCACAAAATGGTCTCCTTTCTTGAAGATCCCATCTGAGAAACTAATCTGTTCATTTGAATTGCATTTCCCCCCCTTGCTTCAATCCAAAGATGCCATTTCAAGATAAGTAAAAGTACAAGGTAATGTAATAATCGTTGTTGTTGGTGATGAGATCCTCTTAAATGTCTTCCTTCAGGGGAGTCTCAAGGCCCACCTCTCCCTTGAGCTCCTGGACGATCTCCACGCTCAGAAGAGTGTCTCTGGGCAGCTCCAGGTTAAAGTTCTCCAGCTTCTTCCAGCGCAGTGGCATTTTGCCGTCCCACGTGTAGATCTGGGATTTCTGTGATCAGAAGAAACCGGTAAAGATCCATGAAACTTCAGAGTTCTCACAACAAGCCAGACAACAATGGATGCTTTCACAGTTTAAATTGTAGCTGTTCTATCTCATATGGTTCTATGGCAGAGTTTATGCAGGAATCCTAGAGCTGAATTTACTACCTTTTACTACCTTGTTTACTACCTCCACGATATGTTTTACTACCAACAATTGGACAGCTGCCTTTTTTTTGGGGGGGTGGGGGTAAATCTTCATACCCATCATAAATATTAGGCAAATTAATGTTTAACTTTTTATTAAGTATTGTCATTAAATATTATTTGTTTTTTTTTTTTGTAGTGTCAAGTTGAGTTTCGTTTGTCCTTACCTTAACTCTAGCCCTTGGGTTATCCTAACCATAACCCTTAACTCCACCTAATAAAGTCAACTTCACACTTCTTAAAACAAATGACACTTGACAACAGCCATAAACATTAATAAAATTTTATAAGTGTGTCATGTGACACACTCACACACACTAAGACAGACACACATTCTCATACACACAGACTAAAGTAGTGAATTATTTCATCCCGAGGTAACACTGTCGATTAAAAAACTGTCCAAAGAGTCCTTGGAATGGTAATGGGTGGTAACCATTGGTATTTACTGGTTGATGTAACGTAAGATAAAAGTTTGAACATGTCCCAAAGTAAATCTTAAGAGAAAAGTTTAACAATTTTACCTTATTTATACAACAGCTGTATTGTATACATGGAGAAATGGTGTCAGCGTCACTCTGATAGGCTATCAATTCCGACTCAGGTCTTGCTAGCACGTATATTATATATTTTTTAATTAGATGAAGTTAAAACACGTAGACAAATGGGAACAAAAGATGGATGATTAAAAATTTACTACTAAGTCAAATTCCATTTACTACCTTTTAATACATTTCAAGGGCCTTAATTTTGTCTGATTTCATTTACTACCGCACAGACACCCTGTACGGTTAGCACTAAACAAAACCAAGACGACAGCTACGAAGGTGAATTATGGATGTCGTTAATTTAACACCATCTTCGGTAAATATAGTAGACAAGAATACTTTTGGAATAAACTGGTTTAGCGTAGGTTTAATGGTATTATGAAACACTAGAAAATGCAAGATCTTGCCTAAAGGTGCCGATACACGGGGCAACTCTTTAGCAATGTTGCCAGGCAATTGCCATCCAGGTGAGACAAAGGGCAACTAATCAGGAGGGTCACAAAAAGTTACCCGCTGCCTGATAAAGTTTTTCAAACAGAAATTTGTTGCCAAGTATCAATGGGAAAATATCAGAGCAACACTGGTCAGCAACACAACCTGACAACATTGCTCAAAAAGTTGTGTATCGTCACCCTAAGAGACGGCCTGCACTTACTCCCATGCCAAGTAAAAAGAGATGATTTCCACCTCCCACCATGCAGCGGTAGTCCAGGACATGGTGCACCTTGTCAAGTGTACTGAAGGTCAGCTGGGTCGGTTTGTAGTTGAAAGATTCGTTGTCCGTACCCTGTGGCATGGGGGGGGGGGGGGGGAGACAGGGGTTCAGGTTCATGATCTACTTAGCAACCCAGCACATGTCATTCCACACGACCTTCAGGTACAGCACGAAGACTTTCCCCACCTGCATCAACTCCTGGAATTTACTCCTGGGGTCTGTGCTGGAGGGGGCCACTCTGGCCTTGTCTGGGATCTGCAGGGGAGAGGGAGAGAGGGGAACAGAGCTATTGGAAAGAAAGAGCACTGGGGGGCATTTATATGGATACAGGGGGGGCATTGATGCGGAAGCACTCAGACTAACCCCCCAGAGACTGAGGCACTGCTTCCTGATCTCTGCCTGCCGTCCTTCCGTCAACGTCCTGAAAACACAGGGAGTAACAAGAATGACAACAAGACGAATTCTCTGAGATGCTTTTTTTTCTGCACAAATATCGGTAACACTTTCTATGAATGCCATGTCCAAAAAAAACCTATGAACACATTCATAAAGCATTATAAACATGGTATAACTATTTATAAAAAGGCATAACACAATTTAGCCATGTTTATTATGCATTGTCTATGCTTTATTAAGCACTCATCTATACTGCATTATAATGTAGCACTAAGTATATTTAATTCTTATACTGACCATTATAATGCATTATGAAGGTATCTACAATGCATTACAGGTGATAGCTTCAAGTAAAGTGTTAACCAATTATCGTTCAAAATTACACAGCATATACATTTATTTTATTTATATAAAACTTCCCAACTGTTTCCAAATAAAACTGAAACCATGGTTACTGGGACCTTTTAGCTGAGGAGTCTTATGGAGAATATCCTACTGTTATTTTATAAGGTGAACAGGTAAACATTCTGGGAAAAACAATGGCAAATCTGTACAAGTGAAGCCGCACAGCACTTCAACAAAATGAAAGGGCTGACTTACGAGTCCCGGACATAAGCATGGATTTTAGCCAGGGCTTTAATCTGGATAGCACAGTGCCTTAAAGGGAGAGCAAAATTATACAGCATTAGAATCACCATAGACAATGAAGTGTATAAACATGTTGATAAGACTGTGGCACATTGAGAACATAACCGGAACTAATGGGGTTTGCTGGGCACAAAAAGCACAGAGGAAAAGCTCTGGATAAGCCTCAAAATTTGCTAGTGACCCAAAGGCGTAGGTTTGATTCCAGCATTGGTATGGACGAAATCAGCCCCGATTCTCTCACCTCATTAGACATACACAGTCTATCCACAATAGTGGTAGGTCCCTGCAGTCCATATCCAAATCCACGCCCTTGTTTTACTTAGCCAAGTGGAATTATGAGAATTCTGCAAAAGCACTACTACTCTATTTCTCAACAAGCTTTCATGGAATAGGACCCATAAGTTCCAGGATTGCTCCTGTTCAACCGTTAATAGAGGGAACTGTTCAAAGAAAATATATTTCCCTACTTCTCGTTGGAGATAATCATATAGTTGAAGAAGTCGGTGTCTCCTTTGATGATGTCCAGGGGCACCACCTCATTGACATCCGATTCTTTGTCCCTCAGCTGGTTCAGCTTCAGGTTGATGGTGAACAGGTATTCCCTGACGGGGTCTGACCCGGGCTTCAGCCCTCGACACACCACATACCTTAGAAGGAAATCAGGTGTTGAGTTCCTAAGTCCAATGTTTATCCAATACTTACAGGCCATTTGATAATGTGAGTCACACTGGTAGGCAATACACACTAATACACAAGGTACATACAGGTTATTAAGATGTATACATTAAGTTGGGTTAGGAACTAGAGGTAGATACAGCTCAAAATTGCAACTAGAACTTTCTCAACTTGCACTGGCAGGACCTCTCAGAGTTGGCAGGTCGGCTTGTGACTGGCTTGAAGAGGGACACCCTCTCGAAGCACAGGTAGAGCAGGTAAATCAGACCGACGCTGAAGGGGGTGAACAGGTCAAAGGTCTTACAGATGAAGTGACCACCTGAGAGAGAGAGAGACGTAACGATTTGCTGGTGTGTGGATTGCAGCCGGGTTGCAAGTACAGACATGAGCTCAAAACAGGAGGCGAGAAAGATCATGGATGCTTGGAATCAGGAGATGTGCCGCAGAAACACAAAACAGGAAGTTAGGTAAGACAAAATGAAAACACTATTATTCATTCCACTTAACAAGCATAAAATATCAGTCAGTCTCCAGGGAGCTCAACCTCTGGTGCAGAATAAATTGGGTCTTTCTGCCCAACACAAACATCACATTACAAGAGCTTCAATGGAATTGCATTACACATACACTTTTAAAGGAAATAAACTTTCAACTCATCCCAACAAAGGATCAAAGAAGATGAGACAGATACCAGTAACACCTTCCAATGCTGACGGGGCACAGAGCAGACGAAGCAGTGAACCTCCAAACAGGCCCCTTACCTGTCCTGACGGTGGACAATGCGGTGAGGAACTGACAGAGCAGCAGCTGTTTACTAAGGATCTCCTGGATGTTCTCCTGTCCCTCCACTGAAAAGCCCTGCATGAGGACAGGCAGCTGGTTAGGTCATAATACAGGACAAAGGGGACCCACAATGCCACCGCCATACTCCACAGACATCAACAGAAAGAGTCCACATGAGCACCAGAGACAGGGAGAAAAATGGAAGTCATCACATCGGAGAACTCAGGAACAGTTTCTACCCAACTGCAATCAGACTCATGAACAATCAGTAGCCTTGTGTCTCCTCCACTGCTACCCACACATATACTGTACTTCCGCCACTGTCTCTTTATTCCTGGGATTCTGGTCTTATTTATTTATTTACTCATTGTCTTGTTGTCTAGCCATCTTGTTGTCTATGTTCACTGTCTGCAGGAGCACATGCAAGCAAGCATTTCATTGTACATGGTACTCGTACTTGTATTGAATTGAAAGATGGGATGAACCATGCAGGATTGATCGCTCCTTACCCCATCCGCCATAAGGAAGTGCAGCCCTCGCCTGTCCGTGTTCTCCATGATAAAATTCCGGAAGGCGGTGATGTTTTCCGGCCTGGTGATGTCGCCGTCTCCATCGATCCCTCCCTCCCCTGCATTAAACACAAAGGAATTCTTGCGGGTTTCCATGGCGACAGATCTGGCATGCTTACGGAGGGGTTCTGCGTGTTGGAAAGCCTCACCGTAGTAGGGTTCAAAGAGCTCGCTGGGCGCGGCAAAGAAGTCCTCCAGTTTGAAGTCGTTGGGCCCCCGCAGCGTCATGCCAAAGCCCTTGGCATGCCAACGGCGCCTCCACAGGACATACTCGGAAAAACCTCCTGGGCCGGCACACACGTCCCCGAAGTACAGCAGTTCCCCCGCCTTGTCTCGCGTGCACGGCTTCTGCGGGTCAAAAAGCAAGCAGTGCATCACGATGCCAACCCCCTATTTATTTAAGCAATAACATGCGAAAAGGAGTGCGGTTGTGCTCCAGTATATCATGGCTGTGATTCAGTCATAGGCACTCATAAAACGTCTCTTGTCCAATCAGATTTCTTGGTCAGAAATAACTGTTGTACAAGTTTCCTTATTTCATCCGTGCAAATAACTATTGGCACTATGTGTGTTCTCTCTTTGCGCTATGAGTTTGTGTCTGCATCTGTGCACTTTGAGTTCCTTTGCTGATGTATGAAAACGAATTTCCCTCAGAATCAATAACATATACATCATCTTATTAAGCGCACACCTGGAAAACTCATCCCAAAGAAGACAAGGCTTTCTCCATCGCTTGAGCAGTTATTCAGTTGTGTTGTCTCTAAATGCCACGCCAGCATCTAGGGTTATATTCATGGCTGATATACACTGACAGAGCACCCCCA